TTGAAATCTTTGTTTTCGAAGTAACGATGAGGAACGCCTCGACTTGGCGTCTATGAAGCGTCTTTTTTCTGCTTCGAGCAAGGTTTGCGTAGGTCATCAGTTATAATTGTTAATTAATTCACCTTAAAGTCTTCACCTGACCTACGCATGATGCTATTTCATCGGAATGTTTCCCCGGATGAAAACAGTGTACTTGTTTTAATACACGTATATGTTGTTTTTTCGAAGCTTGGAGTGTTTTCCTGTCTTAGGCTGCAAATAAAATCAAGCTTGAACGCACACCGTATGCCTTTGAGAAAACCCCAAGCTCAGCTGTTTATCACATTTATTAATTTTTCATGTTTCACTTGTGTTAAAAGTTATTATTATTGTAATACTGCAATACATTATGAGGTGGCGTAGTTGCTTGAGGCACTATGCTACTAGCCGGAAGGTTGCGGGTTCGATTCTCGATGATGTAATTGGATTTTGTCAATTTAGTTAGTTAGTTATTGGAGAGGGTGGGTTTCCCCATGCACTTAGACCTGTATTGGTCCATTGTGCTTCTCTCTATGATATTCTACCAATCTCAATACCCTACCGATACTGGTGCTTACCATCAGTCCCGACCAAGTCAGCGAGTTCGGCCTCTACTGGCTTGGCGGTATCTATAATGCTTCCCCCATCTATCAGAGGCTTTAGAGACTACTGTTGGGCGGGAAATGTCCTTGAATTTGGCTCAGTGATCTCCTTAGGAGATATGAGGTTCTTTTACGTGCCGTAAAGCTACGACACGGGACCCACGGCTTAAAGTCCCTCCCGGAGGACTTGTTCCCTGAATTTTTCCGCCCTTAAAAATTCCACGACCTCCGCCGGGTTTGAACCCGCGTACTACGAGTCATGAGGTGGGAACGTTACCTCTAGAGTACGGAGGCCGCTTTTTGTAAATTTACCTAATCTTTCTGGCGGTAAAGGGTGGCCGGCGCGTAAGGCTGACAACCTCACCGCCATCTATGAGCTGATTGTCTAGAAAACGTGGTAGCCTCGACGTCTCACAACCCTATGGGTTTATTATTTACATTATAATGGTGTTTTCTTTTGTGGCAAAGAATTTAATTCAATTATCCGAATTTTCGAGTATCCGAACCACATTTATCACTGATTAATTCGAATAATCGTCGTTCTACTCTAAAACTGAAATGTGTTATTGTCCGTCAGGTTTTATTTTTGTATCTGTAGACCAGGATGACTTAACACCTGAATGATACAGTTGGTGAAGTTGCAAATGAAAAGAAGTTGAAGAAAATGGGAGGTTAGGTTAATTTCCTTTTTGACAGTTTGGTTTTAAAAGCCGACTTTTGTCGTAAACATTGGTCAAGCTAGCAGCACGCGTAATGCATATTGTGTTAGCATTTCGGTATAAATGTAGCTGCCTTTACGAAACTTTTTCAGTTATTGATGGGAAATATTTTTGACGAAGTTTATTTTCTATAATATTCCCGTTTAAATTCCAGCGGTCTCCATGCTAGTTATGTAAATAATTTTTCCGCGCTAACAGCGTAACCAGCTACTGCATCTGGCTCGCTCCTCGTAGTACATGTTTGTGGAGTGCTCTATTTCTGCAAAAGTTAGAATATTTTTGAGTCCTGTTTGTTTATATTTAGCTCGGCACACTCCTACCATTTGCTCCCCCAGAGGGGCGTGAGGCATGCAACAGCCAAGTGTTGTAATAATAGTACAGCATGCGTGTGTGCACCTACCAATGCCTCCTGGACTGCTACGTAATGGACTGTTCTGGCACATTGACCAGTCTGCAAGGATGACGTTGCATTCCTCTTAGCCCGAGAAATTGTAAATGTTACTGACACAATGAGAGTCAAGGACTTGTTATTTAGAGCACTTCAGAATGTTTTTTTTTTATCTAACCATATAATGGTCCGAAACCCAGCGCAGCGGATGAGGTGGGTCTGTTCAGTACAATTCCCGGGTCTGAGAGCAGAAGTTAATCTGCAGAGTGGGAGTATCCCTAAGATCCCTAACACTTTACTTGGCCACCGAAGTTGAACATCCGATAAAGGTAAAGTTGTCCCTGTGCTTAACTAATTAAGCACCACGCCATGAAGACGTATGGGGGAGTGGATGTATAGATTCACATTTTCTTGACCTCGGCACTAGTTGGAGGTGGGTGGTCAGCTACACGAACCGGCCGCTTTACCCCCAGGGAAAGAGCCCCCGGTGCCCATTGGATATGAGTCTGGGTGGGTCCCAGAGCCGGTCTGGGCAACATGGAGAAGTGAGAATTCTTACCGTCACGGGGACTTGAACTCCTACCTCTTGGTCGTCCAGCCAATAACCCGTCGCTGTACCGACTGCACTGTTCCGAATGTCGGAATATATCACATCTCCTTACTTGCTAATTTTCCAACTTGCGTTCTGATTCGGCTGACTAGAAATTAAGCTCCAGAGTGAATCTCTGTGATTTTATTTCCTTATTGGACTGGAATACTCGGTACCATCTAGGAATATGTCACAGTCCGTTGTTTACCACTTCTCTACAGACACTGTGACGAATTGAAAATACTAAAGCTCTTTTCTAATAGTGAAAAAGGTTTTTCGTGTTCTTAACTAAGAAGTACGCCATAGTGACGTATGGGGGAATGAAAATATAGGTAGACATATTACTAACCTCGGCACTAAATGGAGGTGACTGGCCAGCTTCACGCTCCCGCCCTTTTACCTCCTGGGAATGATCTCCCGGTGCCCATTAATTAGGAGGTTGTGTGTGCCCCACAGCCGGTCTGGACACTGTAAAGAGAAGAAAATTCTCCTCTCTCTGCTTGGAATGGAACCTCAACTCCCCGTCGGTCCGGCCTGTAGCCAGCCGCTATACCGACTGAGCTAGTACGTAAATTTATTTGAGAAACAAGCAGTAGGCGTACCACTTTGTAACCATTAGGTATACACACCCACGTTAATTGGGCACCCTGTCACCACGGCATGGCGCCTCTAGTTGCGAATGAGTTAAATACACGTGTAAGCCGTCGGGGACAGCCGAAAATGTTTGGTCTACCCGCTTGAGTTGGACGGGGTGCTACACTTTCACCGAAGAAATGTTATACAGAAGGAGATGCCGATTAAGGAAGATGAAAAGTATCAGAATCTACCGTGAATGTAGAGACAGCAAGTTCCTACGGAACGTTGGACCCTAACTACCAAACAGTACGGCGTCACATTGCAGAAGACTGCAGTCTTAACCTTTTTTCCGTACTAATGATTAGGGCGTTCGAAGAAGAGCACGTATTCAACAAAAGAGCACGCGTAGCGTAGTTGGTTGAGGCGCTACGTCACAAGTCAGAAGGTCGCGGGTTCGATTCCCGATGAGGTCATTGGATTTTTCGAGAGACCTAATCCTTCCAGCCGCATTATGGCCCTGGGGTTGACCCAGCCTCTAAGTCTGAGTCCGACTTTGTGTCTTATGTTACTATCGACGGCCAGTCGGCCAGTCTCTCTTGGAATAAAGCACCTATCTGGGGCTTACGGCCAGATTTTTATTACTGTCAGGCAGTTGCAGGTTTGTTGATGTGTGGTGCTCTCTCTGACGAGAGGACTGGTCTGTCGTTTACAATTGATGCTGGCCTTCGCCATCGCAGTCATTCTCGGGTCCGAGTACCACGGGACTCGTGACCACATTTTACTGTCTCAGATTCGAGACTTTCCTTTTCGTCGCCTCCTACGACTCGCAGGGCTACGGTGGAGGTATTCGACCCCGCCTCCACATTGGATTTTTTCTCAACGCAGCCTCTGAGGGTCAAAGTTACTTTACGACTGGCGGTTTACCGCCAATCAGTTCGTCTTGACGTCAGACCCCTTGAGACCCACGACAAGAGATTTTTTTTTTCAGCTGAACTCTTACGGTAATAGTCCTTATATAACATCATCTTTGATGAGAAGATGGGTTTGTCTCTTATGAATATGTTTGGCCTTGCGTCAAGTGTACATTTTGCACATATAGCGTGTCATTGAAAGTCCGTGCCTCGGCAACAACCGCATAGTAAACACCGCTTCCAACAGTACTTATATTGTTGCATGGCGCCAAGATTGACGCGGGCCACATAGAAACACCACTTTCAGCAGTTACTTCATTGTTACTTGTGTACGTTGCTTAGTGATGGCTTTGATATTGTTGCATATTGCACAGCCGTTGCCTAGTAATGGCGGTTTCTCTGGCTCCCCAGTTTTTGCTTTATCCAGTATGTTTTTGGGCCGTCGATAGTTTCGATCTGTGGTAGACATCGACCAGAGACTTTTCCATTACGGTTAAAGTCCTCAGGTAACATCGTATGTGTATGGCCCTCAAACTTAGGATGTCCGCACGTCCTGTTTCTAAAACCACTGTCCCGTGTTGTTGCATTCATGAATTTCTTAATACAGAGTCCCAAAGCATACTTTATAGTATTTAAATCCTTTGTCGAGGACAGGTATCCGAAATAGTAGTTAAGTTACGCACGAAGTTGTGGAGTCGTTTTCACAATTTTAACCGTATTCGAAAAGGCTTTTTGGTGTGTAAACAAAAAATTATAAGTATCTGAAGATTATCGAATATGTACAGACGGTTGATTTCATTCGAAACTGGATGAAGTCATAATTCCTGTAACGAACCCTACCCAAACAATATATTAACGTTTGAATATGAGATACGCAGTTGCAAACGAAGCAGAAAACCGTAACGGTAAAAACATGAACGAGTTTGTGCGTATTCCCACCTCTGGCATCCATTGGCTGCAATGAACAGGTTAGCTACTGTTGATACTATTAGTAAGCAAAAAACGTAGGCTCTTGCTGATAATGTAGAGAAACGAAGGGGCTGCGAGGAGGGTGGGTGCGCAGCATTGGTTGCGCCGGCTGCCTGCGTGATTTGCGTGACTCTGCGCAGAGGCATATTCCGTATATTGCGCAGAGGATGATGACGACTGCGATGTCGTGACGGTTGGAGGGGGATAGTGGTGTTCGCTCCGCTAACAGGCCAGGCAGGCGGAGGGGTATTTGTGTCTCGAAGTCACAGGCTGTGTCATTCGGTTAGACGGCGTTGAGAAGGAAGTTGTTTAGTGTGATCAGTCGTACGTTACTGTGACGTGGCTAGTTTTATAAAATTGCTTGTTGATCTGCTGTCGACGTAACGCATAGGTAAAGGAATGCAGACCAACAGGTTAATTTTCCTACGTATAGTAGAAGGATAACATTACAATCTGTGTTTTACATACTGTGACATAGAAGTGTTGGTGTGTTGAAACTAAATAGTTGCGGATGTTTTGTATGTAGCTGTTGGAGGATTTTTTTTTATTTGGGGGGATTTTATAAATTAATGGTTAAAATGTCGGTGATGCAGATGGGCAAACGGCAGCACTGTTATTTGTGTGATTTGCCCCGTATGCCTTGGGCTATGTTACACGATTTCTCTGAAGCCGTGTGTCGGGGTTGTGTGAACTATGAGGGTGCGGACCGCATCGAATTGGTACTAGACACAGCGCGTCAGATGAAGCGAGCCCACGGCTTTCAAGAGTCGAGAAGTAGTTCTGGTTCGAAACCCCAGCCGGGAAGTGTACACCGCTCTTCAAGTATACCTCACGAAACACAGCACCAGAATGGTGTTACTGGTTTGGAGGTGGTAAGTTTGCCTCCAGCTGCCCATGTCCCTAGTAGGCAACAGCAGCAGCCGCCTCCACCACCCCCCGGAGGTCCGCATCACGGTTATAGTACTTTACACCACCCGAGATCTGCCGGACTCTTGGCAGAGTATCAGACGGCGTCAAGTGTACCCCAGCCTCCACCACCGCGGAGTGCGGCTGTACCACGCACCCTATCGTCAGATGGAAGCCCCAGTGAACACGAGACTGGGATGACCATGACGCGGACCGTGAGATTGCCGACTTCTCATCTGGCAGCCGCCGCTCATCATAACATGCAGCAGTCACAGCATCATCATTCCTCGAATGGAGGTCGCCCGAACTCTCTCCCACCTCAGGCCTCTGGAGGAATCGGTCTCAAGAGAGGTCTGTCTACCTCGACCGAGGACGACGAACATCATCCTCATCACCATGTGAACGGTGACGGAGTACCGACGACCAAGAGAATGATGAGCGTGGAAGAACACTCCTCCACGTCTCGACCACCGCTGACAAGAGGGGAGTCCCTGCCTGCTGCTGTTACTCACACGACGCCGTTCATAGACAGTCGCTACAAGGAAAAACATCCCGTTAGGGCGCCGTCCTTTGATACTGCCACTTACAAACCTAACGGTAAGGCCAGATCAGTCTAACGGTGAGACTTTTTTCTTTGTCTTCTTTCCTTTGCTCTCTCAGTTTCTGTGTGTTAGTAATCCGGCGCCATGCTTAACCACTGTTAACCTTCTAGTCAGTTCACGCCTGTATCAGGCATTCGACGGTATGCCTCTCAGCAAACAGCCATCTTGATGTGTCGTTTCAGAAAGTTATATTCCATGTTTTGTTTTATAGTTAATAACGAGTGTCGTGATGTGACGAAGTCGTAGAGGCCCGCTCCGCATTCATGGGAGAGGTTTGGGGCGGAAAGGGGATGTGGGGAGCACGAAGCTTATATACAAAGTCACACAACATAGACATGTACGTATTGAATCGGAGTGGGAGATGACAGGCATAGTTGCTACAGTTTCAGTTCGTGACGTCACTCTTACGATACCGTCTGCGCAATGTGTATGTGCGCAAGGCTCTAGTTTTCATTATCATTTTTTTTTAGTTTTTATTACGGTAGCGATATTACAATGCATTGCTTTCGTTGCATCAAAGTGCGTGAGAGATGTGCAGTTTTATTTATAATATGTGAAATGATAGCAGTTTTGGTATCGTGTAATTCACAGAAGCATGATGGGGTATTTATCCCGTTTATACCTGTAACGACAGGTGTAAGATTGTAAACTTTCCCACGTATGAAGCGACGAAACAAAAAAGTTCGGATGCACTACCCCACGTCATTCATCCCTCCCAGCGCCCCGCAGTGTTTGGAATGCTCCCCCCCCACTCTGTTCCGCTGCACTCTCATGGCGGTCGACCTACTGTGTGCCGGCACCCAGCAAGGAACTGGCAGGCACCAGCGGCGGATATTGATCTAACCATAAACGGACATCGCATGCTTGGCGCTTCCACGCCTCATGCGGAGCAAGACAGGCGAGCACTCTTAAAAAAAAAAAAGGCAAAACAAGGGCGCTCCTATGGTTCGTCCAACATGCCTACTGGCCGGCTAGTTGCCAGCTTGTGACGTCATCCGGACATAGTGTCACGGCTCGCATTTGCTTTGCAGAGCTGGAATGATGCCTCAGGAATACTTTCTTCGTCCTCTTGTCCCGTATTGTCCCCCACCCTGCAAGTGTTGAATGAAATGGAAGCCACATCGCATAAGCATATACAAAGGTCAGAAGCCATTCAATTCACTGCATGACGCAGGCAGCTATTTTGCTGCTGTGAACGTGGCAATGAACCTTGGGGGTTCCGTAAGTGACGATATTTTTGATTAGCGACTGTTAACCTTTTCGAGAAGGACCCACCGAGCAGTTTACTGTAGCTCTAACTCTGGGGATTTGACGTTTCATATCTCGGCCTGCTACCGTGACAGGATTTTCGTGGTTTTATTCAGTCTCTTTGAGATATGCCCTGGTAGTACGATTAGGCCATGAAGAAGCCTGTACAATACACTGCAATCCTACGATTCGACGCCTGGATACAGGAAGCGTCGTAAAAGGACGTTTCCCCATGGATTCAATTTTTATTACGTAAGTTCTTAACGAACTGAGATTTTAACATCAAGTGACAATTGAAATGTGTTTCTTTTTCGTGTAGGGCACAGTCTGTTGCTTTTGTATATCGTGAACAATATTTTACATACATTTCGAGTTGTGAGCGTAGTTTATTTCAGTGACACCACGCATTTTCTTCATGCTGTGGATAGTGAAATCGATATAGCGACTGGCTAGGGGCTGGGCGACCGAGGGGTCGGAGGTCGAGTCCCGGTAGGGTCAAGAATTTTCTTCCTCCACTTCGTCCAGACCGACTCTTGGGTCCACCCAACCTCCTATCCACTGGGTACCGGGGGCTCTTTCCCCGGCGATAAAGCGGCCGGGGCGTGAAGGTGACTACTCAGCTCCAGTTAGTGCCAAGGTCTATACATCCACTCCCCAACACGCCTTCAAGGCGTAGTGCTTAATTAACTAAGCACAGGGACAACTTTACTTTTATGATTTGTCTGGTTATCAGCGTTGGCAGTCACCAGATAGCATGGGTTTATGTATCTACGGTTTATTTAACAACGCTGTAAATTATTCTGTTAGGGGTCAGATGGTTAGTCATTGGTGAATTGGAGAGAATGCTGAAGGAAGGAGCCGTGCCCTAATTGCTCTTGCGGAATTTGCCTGGAGGGACTGAGGAAGACCACGAAAAGATACATAAGAATGGCTGACGAATTCTATCTTCTGGGATGTAACGCCGTGTGATCCGTTTGAAGTCAACAGTAGTTTCGGAGGATCATACCGCCTTCATCTTCAGGGTGTAAGAATAAGCCAAGCAAGAAACGAGAGTGAAAGCTTTCTGCTTGGTTCTGTTTTCGTGCTGGTTTCTTGATCGGTTTATTTTTCGACCCTGAAGATAGAGGCGATATGTTTGTCCGAATCGTAGGCCGACTTTAAACGGACAACACGGCGCCATATCCCAGAAGGTATGTACTTCTCATACCCATCGCTGTGAGAACCTTAAACCCTACGTCAGAATAGTCTGTGTCTCGATCGACATTCGAAGTAGGCACCTGCGGATTTCAGGTCACAAATAAGATCACTTCACCCCGTAACCTTTTACGCCGTTTCCTACCGTCGGGTTCCACTTCGGATACCCTTTAGCTGGTTTTGCTGCTTGGGACAAATGTCGCTACGCTTTTGAATGTGGGCCAGATGTTGTTGCCGCCAGGTTTGGAATTCAGCTACCCCGATGTCACTGGCCTTCCTGGGGGACTGCCTGCATAAACACGTATGCGGATGGCCACACCGCCTGTTCGCCACTTTTCCCACGCACTTAGAGGAGGGTTATTTTTGAATGCTTGCTTTCAGATTTTCTCACAGTTGTAAGCTTATTTTTGAACAGAGGGTCTAGTTCTGTTTTCAAAAGCATTTTCTCTTGCGCAAAAAAAAAACAACTCCGTTTTGCAATGAGGCATTGCAACCTTTTCGTCTGCCCTTACCAGTTCATTGGCCCAGAATCGGTACATATTCATAAGGTACGAACCCAACAGGAGGCTGGAGTGAGTAACAGCGAGGAGCTTCATAATTTGTGGTGGTTGGAATATATTATTATGATTATGATTATGTGCTTTGTTAGGTACGTAACATGGATGGGACATAAGAGAAAGTCATACACATTGTGGTTAAAAAAACAGAGGGGAAACAGTCAGTGGGAAAGCCTAGGCATTGATGGGAGGACAGTATTAAAATTGATTCTGAAGGAATAGGCTGGGAGGGTGTGGATTGGATTAATCTGGCTCGGGGTAGGGACCAGTGCGAGACTTCGTGATTACCGTAATGACCAGCCTGGTTCAATAAAATAATGGGGATATCTTGGTAAGCTAAGCGACTGTTAACGTCTGAAGAATACCTCAGCTCCAAGGACTTGTTTAGTTTAGGTAAGCAGCTCATGCAGCAATCCCAAGTTGTCAGCTGTGACGTATGATTGAAGAAGGTGGTTCTGGCTTCCGCGGGACTTACTGTAAAGTCAGTTTTGAATTAATAAATTTCTAATTTGATTTTCTCATTACGGATTAGTTTTTTCTTTAATTTTAATAGCCAGACATTTTGGTCGGAACAGAAAAAGGCGAATCGGTGGCTCAGTATTTTGTGTTATGTAGCCTTCCTGGTTCTCTCATGTGATCGGCTTTTGAGATAATTTGTTCCGGTTGTACTCTTTGTCCTAAACACCCATAGGCCAGGCATAAAAGGAGAAATTGGGGGTTTAAACTCATATTAATTCTTATGATTTCCAAATTGTGTTTGATCTGAATGTTTTTGACGCCCCCCAAAGGTGTCCTTGTCGTGTTGGGGCTTGCGTGACTGTGACCTGAAGAGCTATGCCGGCTGTAGTTTAACTACCAGTAGGGTCACCCATGCCGGAAAGTTCAAAGGGTAGAAAGAGAGATACCCTGGTCCTCCAGGTTGGGCATGAGGCAAAGAGTCTCATCCTGTAAAAAGAATTTTGCTCAGAAACGTAACAACCATCCTCGGGTCATCATGCGTGGGTCCATTCCTATGTCAGCACGCGTAGGTTGTGGAGACTGGTTGTAGAGGAGGCCAAGGCTCATCCAGGGCTGTAGTGTCGACTGGTAGGTAGGTAGGTAGGTAGGTCTTTGGACGCAGGTCGCTACGCCCGCCCTCTCTTAACACAAGTGACAGAGATTTCATGAACCCCAAAATTCCACTACGAGATTACAGTGGGTGAATCATTGGTCGCCAGCCAACCTGGTGACAGTGTTTTTCGAACCATGTACTTCACTGTCGAACAGTTCATTATGACATTTATATCAAATAAGCTGATTAATTTCTAGGCTATCTCAGGACATTTTTATCGGCCTCTGAGGTTATATCAGCTCTCACTGATTAAAGTAAGTTCAGATTCCTAATTATTTAAGAAATAATTAAACCTTTTTACGTTTGGTGAGAGATCAGCCCATCGCCCAGCCAGAAAAAATAAACGAAATGACGAAAAGAATTTTTGTGAACCCCAGTACAGCGCTGCGCTCGAGAAAGTCACGGAAGTCTCCTTGTTTCGTTCGCGTTCGTAACTGGCATTTCGCCTCGCTTGCTTGACTGGCCGTCTCGTATGACGTCATCGCGTCGTCATGGCCTTCTTTTCGTTCGTTATGTCTCGACTGTTGTCGGGCCTAGAGCTCGGGAGGCCGTGGAATGTTGATTCGACCGGATTTTTGTGTGTGCCGCGAGTCTGACGACTCCGTCATCCAGTGATGCCATATCCACAACTGTATTACGCGTGTACAGCGTTGCCAAACATTGCATGAATGACTTATCTTAACGAAAAGTTTGGGAAATGCTTATGAATGAAAGATGTAGATTTACATTGCTGTAACCATCCTTTTCTTTTATTATAATGCCGTTTCATAATTAATTCTCGCTTTACAAATTTCCCGTCTTGTGTTGTTCATGTTTGCGGTTAGTATTTGTTTCATACATATGTGACACATTGGTTGTTTGGTTGAGCTATGAACGCTGTTTAGC